TAAAATGTTTAAATTAAAGTTTTCACTACAGACAAAAGAAGTGAAGAAAGGAAATGAGAAAACAGCTTAAGCCACCACACTATTTAAAGGCTTAAATGTATCATGCATGCAACTACCTGAAAAATAATACTATAGGTCTTTCACCTGAAATGTTGAAGTTCATTGATTTCTTAGTTTCAGGTAGTTGCATCATACAGGGGTGCACAGAGAGAGGACTGAAATGAACAAAACCCCAAATAAATCCACCTGCATGGACTGGAAGTGACATTATCTACCAATTAAATTGTTTCTGACTTGATGTCTGACTAGCATGTGTGACTTTCTCAGTTCTGGCCTGTATAATGAGATCCAGTGCAACCCTATAATCTAGATACTTTGCTTATACCTACACTTGTGATTGGTACCCAACATTCAGGAAGTACAATCCTATTTCTAGTGGTTCAAGAATCCTCAATTCAACATGACAGTCAGAAATCTAGGTAGAAATCATATTACCAGATAAGTTGGCCACAGTATCCTGAGCTTCTGGCACCCCTAGGCTAGCTTCTACTGGCACCCTAGATTATGCATACTATAATAAACACAGACTCTAGCATATATAAACACAAAGAATATAGATAGAAGCACATTGTTTCATGCCTTTATACCTGTATATACACTTATTTAGCACATACAATTGCATAAAATCAAGCATGTCAGATTTCAGCCATCAGTCCATATAGTCTATATAGAAAACCCCTTTGATTTGAGGGAAAAAACTGATTTAACTGAATTAAATAAAACAAAATTTGTTTAACAAAAACCATGGTCCGCCAACAATTTAACAAAGCTAGTAAAGTAAAAAAAAAACCCAAAAAACTTTGAATATAAAAACAAAGTTTCTGTATTTGTCAGTAGCCTACGACAAGACTTTGAGTACACGGCGGAAAATAATACATTATACTATACAAAGAGCCTGTTATCTAATGGATTATATTCTACCATTTACTCCCACTATCATTCAAAAATTAAAAATAAAAGCATATCAATAGTATGTGAAAATTTACCTGAATAGCTGTGCCATCAAATATCGTCTTTGCCTAAATTTTTCGGGGCTTTCATATCGGTTTTTTGTCTTTCGCGGGTGAGAATAGTGTGTACGACTTTTAAATCTTTGAACCAATGGTCAAAAGTCGAAAAAATATAAAAAAAACAATGAGAATTTACTGCAAAAACGTCGAAAAGCAAAAATATTTTTGATAAAACCAGGGGGGGGTGAAAATTGTAGCGGGCTCAGAATTGAGCCTGGTCAGTGGTAATTTCATGAGCCGGAGGAACCAGTTGTCATGGAAATGGCGTCATATGGCGCGAAAATCCGCCATGTTTTTGCGGACACTTTTTTTGCCGAGCACTTCCTCCAGTAATATAGTATAGCTCAGTGGTGGTCATCCTCACTGATCTCAAAATATGTAGCGGACTGTCGTGAATAGTGAACACTGATTGGTCAAATTGAAATTTGCATTATAACGACTGCATTGACGACAGCGAAATAACGAACATTTATTATGCAAGTTCTATTTTTGCAAGATTTTGTAAATTTCAAAACCTTTCTGAGAGCCAAAAAAACGTCTAAAAACGTCTAAGAGAATAGAGCAAAGTCACCAACGTTAATGAAGGTAAGTTTGTTTTAAGTATTGATGTACTGTACTACTGTTTGTTTTATAATTGATATATTTATAACTGATAGTGGTGGGCGATACTGCGAATATCGAACTGATAGTTATATACTATCATTGTGTATATAAGTGAAGAAAGACAGCAGAGAATTACAGTGTATAGTTTTATTAATTACCCTTTCTTTTGTATATTAAAGTATTTAAATAAAGAGGAAAGCAAAGTTATTTTCATGTGAGAATTTGAAATCAGTTTGTTTCAAACTCAATGTTCAAACCCGATTAGTTTTAAGAACATTTTAAAACGTTTTGCGAAGCGTTTGTGGTTGAATTTTACATTAAATTGAAGCTTAAATTACGTATAATAACATACCTAGCATATATATGTTTGGGAAATTGATAATTTTGTTATTAAAAGTGATATTTTGCGGGGATTTTTCATTTCAAAACTATTCTTAAAATTATCGTGTTACCATGACAACTACTTTCAATTCTTCATATTCAGAAAACATAATGTTTTGTCAGTAAGGCGAGGGTTTTTGCATGCATGTATTTTCTAGTTCAAGTGTTAAAAGTATTAGTTATAATTTAAACTGTTGCTCGAATTAAGAGACTGCTATGTGAACTGAACTCAAAATAATTCGTTTTAGTATATAGTCAATAAAGCTTCCTTGCGAGGTGCGTGTCTAGAAAATAGAAATTGCTGTCATATTGTAAGGGCGAGGTTAAGCCTTATTCTCATAAGTCGCCGACGTCGGCGATGCCATTGTTTGAGATCAGTGAAGAAAAACATAGACAAAAGATTTTACTCATCAATGATCAACGACAATGGGCATCGCCGACGTCGGCGACATATGAGAATCAGGCTTTAAGGAATGCAGTAATACTAAAAAATGCATTATTGAAATCAGTAGACCGCGACACCCATTTTTTTTGCTGGCCGCACGTTAAGGTAGAGGCACCACGTGATGTATTCAAACTAACCTGAGTATCAGGCCGTACTTTTTAGGGCACAGGCACGCCTGATCGCGGGCGAAGGGGAGAAAAGTACGGCCTGACATAGCCTGCATGGCAGGCGGTACGTAGGAAATACCGCCTGCCGCAAAACTGGGTGTAAATGAACTACCGCCCCTGAAGCATCAACGCTATTTATAGATGCATTAATTAAGTAAATATTCAAAATTAGCCACTCCCAAGCTGCTCCCAAGTCCCAACTGCCCAACATAAAATAAATTCCTTGATCTCATCACCGCCCGACTGAATTTTAAAATCCTCGTGAAAACGTTTTATTTTTCGTTATACAATATAAATGTACCGCCCGACAAAATAATTCAAGACAGTTAATTTTTTCATATTTTATATAGAGTTTTTATTGCCATTTTAAACTTCCAATCCGAAACAAACAGAATTTTGAGTGAAATTTCATTGTATTTTAAAGAAACTCAGTCATTCTGTCATTGTTTGTGGAGATACGAACTATTGATATATAAATTATATAAATATAAAATATAAAAAATAAATCTCCCACTGTCTTCGACATTTCAAAGTGTAGACTGTGTCTAGTGATGAGAATCAAGGAATTTATTTTATGTGTTAATATAAACCAAGCCCGTTTAGCCGTTTAGCTACCTTAAAACGGTGGTTTAATAAGCTCAAAATACAAAGCATGCAAGTCTATACTATAGATTCATCATCAGTCAACAACCAAACTGAAAGTATTGAACCTTATAGAACGATAGTTTTATTTGTTTACAACTATACATATTCAACGGGTATATAAGAGTTTAACTGTTATTTGATAATTACTGCATCAACCGGCCCCTTGTTTATACTTTGGAGGTTCGTATATAATATCTATCAAGTATCTTTGGTTCAGAACATGACTGATAGGCCTACATGGAAATCCCACTGTTCGATTCAGTGAAGAAATATCTCCTAATTTCTATCGATAGTTTTAGTAAAATGTCAACATTATTGCGATTTATGGCCTTTGAAAGTCAAGCGAGATAGTATATTATCAAATTAATACGCATGTAAATTGTCTGAACGAAAATATAGACTAGCCCATACCTTTCGCCGATCATAACTTCGGCCCCTTCGGACGTATATATCTTCTTCAGGTTAAATATTCTTGTTCGAATCTCTATCAATAACACTATTTAGAGTGTTATTTTTCAGCTTGTATCTTTTAATTTGCTTCTTTTATTATGTTATATTCCATTTCTGGTCTGACTTGACGTGAACTAATTTCAAAACGCAGAGTTTCAAAACGTCAAAACATTTGGTTAATGATTAACATTTAACCGAATTTAGCCGTTGATTGACAACTACATAAAAATACTAACCAATCCGTTTTTCCCGTTCACCAGCGGACGGGTAATTCAAAAACCCCTAGTTTTGCGGCAGACGTAACCTGAGTATCAGGCCCTCGATATTGAAAGAGGGCCTGACACAATTCGCCTCAAAAGCCATGTTCAACATCCAGAATCTGGATGTTATGCTGATTGGCTAAGAGACAATAAAACGCATCATGTGATTCAAACCGGAAATATATGACCGGCGTATGTAAACACCAAAAATACAATTTGTAATTTTGTCATGAATATACTGTTAAAAGTGCTTTATTTCTGAAATTTATTTTCAATTAATTAAGCCTAAAAATGACGAAATAAGTACGAAAAGACGTTGAAAACGCTTTTGCAGCAACATTTTACTCGGTATAAAACTAAAACTACATAGTCATAGTAGAAAGCGTGTCTAAATATCTCGACGTAATAGTCGCCGTAGAACGAAAATATGTGGATGTCGGAAATTTTCAAATATTTAGTTCCAAAAAGCTGAAGCCTTATTTATCAGTTTATTGCCGAGCGGTTTTCCAAGACCTGCAAGGATATAGTAGTCAGCTCGCTCGAACTAATATGCCAACATCAGGCAGAAATTGAAGACAATAGCCGCTGTGTCAGACGCAGTTGAAACGAATAGCTGTCTCGAATAAACTATTAACATGACACGAGGACCGAGGAAGAAGAAATCCTATTCAGAGCGCCGAATGTTGTCTCTTTAGACTCCTGGAAAAAGCCATCGAGCTATGGTTCCACGAATCAGGCATAGTTTACGCTTAGAATTCCATCATGTGGATATTTCGACAAAAACATACCGATTTTTCTGGTCTTGTCTAAAAGTACACACGACTGACCACGAATGACCACGAGTGACCACGAATGACCACGAGTGACCACGAATGACCACGAGTGACCACGAGTGATTTCTGTGTTTAAAAGTCATAAAATAATAATAAAAAGCTATTTTAAGGTGGCTCCATAGGGTTTTTGCATTATACTACACTTTTGTATCCAGAAAACTCCCGTTTCTTCACTTTACATAACATGAAGACGAAATTTATTGGACACATTGACAATGCTCCTGAACGTTGCAATTTACTACTTTTGCGCTTAAAGTCTGTTACCATGGTAACAGCGTGCTTAGAATAATTAAGCTCCGAAAATTTGTCTTTTTCCAGCCGTTTTAAAAATTTAAAAATATGCATAAAAGATCTTTCTCGTATAATGATTTTTTTCTTCAATTTTTAAAAATTCTATGGAACGTTACTTACATTATTCCCTTCAATAAAATTTTAAGAAAAAAGGATATTGAGCTTGTTTAGCCGATACCGTAAACCTCCGACTATAAGCCCCTCCCCCCGAATATAAGCCCCCCCCCCGTGTATAAGCCCACCAGATGTACTAACGCTCAAATCAT